GACCGTTATATATTTATTAATAAAATATATAATTAATTAAGTAATTCATAAATAAATTTAAATAAAAACCTGATTTTTGAAATTTAAAACATCATACCTTAATTTTGAAATGTGTATAAGTAAAACCAGGATTTATGTAGACTTCCCAAAATTTAATCCTAATTTCGAAAACGTAATGGTGTTAGTTGTAGAATGTTTAAATCATTTTAAGGGTTCGGAAATGATAACAATAAAAAAAAACTAGTAGATATCAAAAACAAGAAAATGCTTAAATTCCTTCCATCTGTAGGCAAATCAAAGGAACAAAAGCCAATATATGAACAGAAAATCATCATCTATTACAAGATATATTAATTAATCTTTAAGGTGTTTTTTTCTTTAGCTAATTTCACAATGCCTTTAATGATTAATTATGGATAAGTACTTTAATAGCAAGAAAAGAAAAGAGAAGAAAGGAGCACCAAAAAATTTGATGATTGAGGAACAACAAAATTAAAATGACAATTATAATATGGATGAATCGAAAGCGAACGAGGAAATGATTGAATCTATCAATATGAATGAATCAAAGCAGAATAATGAAGATAATGTTCAACATGAACATTTAAATCAAGAGAATTGCTTTTATTTGAATTTTGATGATCGTGAAAATTGAAGGACGTTCACATTAATCAAAAGATGAGGGATTTTTTAGTTGAAATGAGTCCGATGACATTCACATTTAAATTAAGAGAATTGCTTTTCATTTTATTATTGTTTCATTGTTGATTTTACGTTAATAAATTTAGTTAAAAACTCTGATAAATAAAAAAATTAATTGTTTGCTACGATTAAGAAGCTCAAATTTTAAAATTCCCCTTTGATCCCACGAAACACATGTCCGAACCCATAGATTTATGCCAAAATCTTAAAATACTAAAATAGTACAAATATAGAACACCACATAACGTTGGACGGGTCAAAGGTATAAATCATTTTTTGTCCCTGTTGTGCTACGTGTTTTGCTGGCAATTTCCAAGTCCTCATGCACTGCATAATAGTAAGGGGAAACATCAATTGTACAATTGAGATTGACAAACTCTCACGTAGTGGATCCCACTGTATTTAAAAAAAAAAAAAAATTATCCACCTATCCATGCCCCATCTATCCCATGTGTGAGTGGTTGTCAACTTCGATTGTACAAGTAGCATGGTTCAATATTAAGCTCTCGTCAACGTTATTTCATATTATAATGACAGAAATAATAATTTTTTAACGAAGATATAATTGAAGAAGGAATTTTTTTAAAAAATTTATGTTTAATTTTATTTTATTGAAAAATATGTGATTGATAATAAAAT